ACCCCACTTTGAATCAGCCTCCTTATGTCAGAGAAAACATTCAGCATTTGTTTTTTGGGGTTTGGCTAAGTTCACTTAGCATTATCTTCTCCAACGCCATCCATTTACCTGCAAATGCCATGATTTTATTCTCTTTTATTGCTGAGTAATATTCCATGTGTATATATGCCACATTTTTTATCCACTCATCTACTGAAGGGCATCTAGGTTGGTTCCACAGTTTAGCTATTGTGAATTGTGCTGCTATAAACATTGGTGTAGCTGTGTCCCTGTAGTATGCTGTTTTTAAGTCTTTTGGGTATAGATGGAGGAGAGGAATAGCTGGGTCAAATAGTGGATCCATTCCCAGTTTTCCAAGAAATGTCCATACTGCTTTCCATATTGGCTGCACCGACTTGCAGTCCCACCAGCAGTGTATGAGCGTGCCTTTACCCCCACATTCTCGCCAACACTTATTGTTGTTTGTCTTCATAATAGCTGCCATTCTGACAGGAGTGAGATGAAATCTTAGAGTAGTTTTGATTTGCATTTCTCTAATTGCTAGAGATGATTAACATTTTTTTTCATGTATTTGTTGACTGATTGTATATCATCCTCTGAGAAGTGTCTGTTCAGGTCCTTGGCCCATTTATTGAGTTTTTTTTTTTTTTTTTGGTGTTTAGCTTTTTGAGTTCTTTATATACACTAGAGATTAGTGCTCTATCTGATGTGTGAGGGGTAAAGATTTTCTCTCCTTCTGTAGGCGCTCTATTCACCTCACAGATTGTTTCTTTTGCTGAGAAGAAACTTTTTAGTTTGAAGCCATCCCATTTATTGATTCTTGATTTTAATTCTTGCACTACAGGAGTCTTATTAAGGAATTTGGGGCCAAATTTGATATGATGAAGATTAGGGCCTACTTTTTCTTCTATTAGATATGGGGTCTCTGGTTTAATTCCTAGGTCCTTGATCCACTTTGGGTTGAGTTTTGTGCTTGATGAGAGATAGGGGTTTAATTTCATTTTGTTGCATATGGATTTCCAGTTTTCCCAGCACCATTTGTTAAAGAGGCTATCTTTTCTCCAATGTATGTTCTTGGTACCTTTGTCTAATATAAGATAATTGTAATTTTTAATATAAGATAATTGTAATTTTGTGAGTTAGTGTCTGTGTCTTCTATTCTGTACCATTGGTGTACCAGTCTGTTTTGGTGCCAATACCATGCTGTTTTTGTTACTATTGCTCTGCAGTATAGTTTAAGGTCTGGTATAGTGATGCCACCTGCTTCACTCTTCCTGCTAAGGATTGCGTTAACTATTCTTGGTCTGTTATTTTTCCAAATGAATTTCATGATTACTTTTTCTATTTCTATGAGGAATGTCACTGGGGTTTTGATCAGATTTGCATTAAATCTGTATAGTGCTTTTGGTAGTATGGTCATTTTGATAATATTAATTCTGCCTATCCAAGAGCAAAGTAGATCTTTCCATCTTCTAAGGTCTTCTTTGATTTCTTTCTTTAGGGTTCTGTAGTTTTCATTGTAGAGGTCTTTCACCTCTTTTGTTGATTCCCCAATTTTTTTTGAGGCTATTGTAAATGGGGTAGTTTTCCTCATTTCTCTTTCAGAGGATTTGCCACTGATATACATAAATGCCTTGAGTTATGGGTGTTGATTTTATATTCTGCTACTTTGTTGAATTCATTTACTAGTTCTAGAAGTTTTCTGGTGGAGTTTTTTGGGTCTTCTAGGTATAGAATCATATCATCAGCAAATAGTGCTAATTTGAGTTCTTCTTTTCTTATGTGTATCCCTTTAATTTCTTTTATCTGTCCAATTTCTCTGGCCAGTGTTTCAAGAACTATGTTAAATAGAAGTGGGGAAAGAGGGCATCCCTGTCTTTTTCCAGTTCTTAGAGGGAATGCCTTCAATTTTTCTCTATTTAGAATGATATTGGCCTGTGGCTTAGCATAGATAGCCTTTATGTTGTTGAGATATGTTCCTGTTATCACTAATTTTTCTAAGGACTGGTGGATTGTATCAGTACAAATTTTCTGCTTGTGATATTATATTACAGTTTTGTAACATGTCACCATTGAGGGAAAACAGGCAAGGCATCAAGGCATCTGTGTAAGTCAGCAGTCCATTACTGTAACAAATACCTGAGATAATCAACTTATAAAGAGGAAAGGTTTATTTTGGCTCACAGTATTGGAGCTTTCAGTCCATGGTCAGTTGGTCCCATTGCTTTTGTGCTGTGGTAGGCAGCATATCATGGCACAGAAAGTATCATGGAACAAAGCTGCTCACCACATGTCTAGGAGCAAAAATATAGAGGAAGGAGGTGGGTTCCCATTATTTCCTTCAGGGGCACATCCCCAGTGGCTCAAAGACTTCAAACTAGGCTCCATCTCTTAAAGTTTGTACTGCCTCCCAGTAGCTCCAAGCTGGGAACAAAGCCTTTTTTTTTTTAAATTGGGGATTGTATCCAGGTGCACTTCACCAGTAAGCGACATCCCCAGTCCTTTTTATTTTTTATTTTGAGATAAAATCTTGCTAAGTTACCAAAGCTGGCCTCAAACTTGTGATCTTCCTTTTTTAACCTCTCAAGTTACTGGTGTGTGCTACCATGGCCTATGAGAGTAAGCCTTTAACACATGAGCCTTTGAGGGACATTTAAGATGCAAAATGTTTTTGAAAATCCTTTTTTTCCCAGTAAAGAATCTGCTATTCAGGCCATTCATGGTATATAATGCAGGGGAGAGTGTTAGAGATTGAAGCAATATAGACTGAATTTTCTTTTCTTTTTCTTTGTGGGGGTTGTACAAGGGATTGAACTCAGGAGAACTCAGCCACTGAGCCACATCCCCAGCCCTATTTTGTATTTGATTTAGAGACAGGGTCTCACTGAGTTGCTTAGTGCCTTGCTGTTGCTGAGGCTAGTTTTGAACTCGTGATCCTCCTGCCTCAGCCTCCCTAGCTGCTGGGATTATAGGCATGCACCACTGCATTCAGCCTGAATCTTATTATAAAAAGTTTTAAAAATTTAAGGATTACATTTTAAACTGAAAGTCTGATGCCAGCATTTTAATTAAAATATCCACAAATATCATATTTAATCACATGTTAAATGCCATGCTTTTAGACTAAATTTTATACATACTGTAAAAAGTACATTCTAAATATTTAAAGTTAGTTCCATTTAAAAATATTTTAACCCTATGTAAGACAAATATGTACTAAGGTGTCTTGATTTTTCCCTCAGAAAATACGGTCACTGTAAGTAAAATTTCTCTGAAAGGTATATAAATTAAGTAGGTAGACCAAAACAGTTAACAGTATAAAAATGTATCCAGAAGAATACAGGCTCCAATTCTGCTTTAGAAAGTTCTTATTTCTTCACTGCCAGGGTCCTGCCCTAGCGGTGTCCAGGGAGTCCTGAAGGATGAGTGGCGTCGGCGAAAAGATGAGACAGGAGTCGTTCCGTTCGAGCAATCTCCAGAGAGAGAGAGCTAATGCAGCTTTCTCTGGGTCATCTTTTATTACAATTTTTCTCATCATTATAGATTCAGAATACGTCATTGATTATATAATTTAAAACTTTGCCAAGACATGACATTTCCTTAACCATGATTGGGGGTACAAAAAATGTAACATTAATTTACATTTTTCCAGGATATGACCTTCAGTTATGTAATTATTAAAAGTACAGAATCATTAATAAAATACGTCACTAATTTACATTTTTCAGATTTTCCCAAGATTTACTATTTTTCCCAAGATATGTTATTTTCTTATTAACTAATGCCAAACTACGTAACCAGACTCTAAGTCTCCTAACCAATCATTAACCTAAAGTACACTTGTACTTTATTTCTAATCTAAAATTCCCATCTAAAAAAGTCCCTTTAAATCTTATATTTAAAATATCCTAAAGTTTATGAATCATTCTTAAAACATATCAGAAACCTATACAACTAAAAACTTAAGAATTTCTAAACTTAAGAATCTAAATAAAATAATATTTCTAACATTATTCTAAAACTGTGTCTTATAAAGCTGTTTTAATTAATTCCTAAATTTATTCTCATAAAACTGGTTGAGCTACTTTCTCAAAGAGTTTCTTTGTTTCTCAGTCAAGGTGCACTAGTTCTCATATCTTTATAATCTTTCTCAATAGAAAGTAAGTTCTAAAAATCAATCCACTTTCCACCAATATTAACTATGCTCATCATATATCCCTATGTAAAGTAAGAAAGGGTTTATAAAAAGAGAAAAATATATCTTTATATGTTTTAACTTTCCTAAGTGTATAATATAACTTTCCTTAATCAAAAATGAAACTGCATGTGGTGAACTTTGTGAAATAAGCATACTGATTAGGTTTTCTAAGAGGCCGGAAATATGGGCTTGGGTTCTAGTTGATATAATCAATGTGGTGCCTAAAATTCTCATGACCTTTCAAAGGATGATTGTTGTCCATTATCAGGTTTATCCACAATGTACTGAGATAGAAGAACAGCCTTCTACTTTGTCCTTGATATGCTGAGGGGTAGTAGAACAGCCTCCAAGGCATGAACTACCTGTTATGTTCTAGCCATCTGAAATTTAATTTGTTTGGCATTTAACATACTCATGCCTCCTGTCAGAAACATAAGCATGAAAATGAAAAGTCCCAATTACATAAAAAAGGGTCTCATGGTTTCGGTTTCTCACGAACCAGTGGCTTTGCCAGCATTCATCCTCACTGTGACCCTGTCAAGACAGTGGGAGAGCGGCTTTGCCAACACTTTTTCTCACTGTGACCCTGTCAAGACAGTGAGTGGGAGATCGCCTTCACCACTTCACAATCCTTGCTTTATTTTTAACACCATAACAGGAAGGAGTTGGCTTTCTGCCCTGTCCTGGTCCTTTCAAAGATTCCTTGCATCAAGCAACTGTGACGGGTCTTTAAAATTAAGCTGCAAAAACCACAGATTGCTCCATGTTTACTCTTGACTGTTCTCTTATCTCATCCCCTTAGCATGTTGAAGCCAGTTTGACATCTGATTTTAGAAGCCCTTCATTTTGGCTACCTTTAAGAACTCTCCTTCTCTGGCTTGCAGATTTCAGCTTCCTGCTCCAATGTTGGCTCTGATGTTGCTCCTTTGACTACAGTATCACCAGCAGCTTCAGGTAAAAGAAACCTCCTCCACCAGCCCTGCCACTGTGGAAACATTACTAACAAGTCTTGCCCCTTTCTGGCCCTTGTTGGGGTAGGACATTTGGATGTATAGATGACTTTGGATGTACACACTTAGGACAACTAGATGATTATTGTTTTATTTGAAATTTCCCATTGGAAACAGGCATATATTTTAGGGCTCATATTCTTTGTCTTCTTCCATCTTTGACAACAGAGAATACACTAATTTGGCTATGTCATCTTGTTCCACCCTGTTTTCTCCAGCCACCCCACACTTATGGAGACATATTTATTTCTACTACTACCTATTTCTCTCCTCCTCCTCTCCTTTTTCCTTTTTTTTCTCTCTCTCTTTTTGGTATTCACTTGTGTAATAGCTCTCTTCTCCTTTTTTCCACTTACTTCTCCTTGCCTTTTTGACCTCATAGGTCAAAATGCCTTAAAGCATTGCATACCTAGCACTGAATCAATGTATTCATCTCAGTCATATTACCAGTGGGCTGCCTTGAAATTGAAATTGAAACTATCATCAGATCATTGCTTTTTCATTTAATGTGTTATAGACATGAGTATAAAGTGTGGCTATAACCTTAAGACACCACATTTTCTGAAATACTCAAGAATTTATAAAATGAAATGAACATTATTCAGAGCAGTAATTGAGATAGAGTACATAATACTACACTTATTTTGGTGTCTCCTCAAAGAGCATGTGATTCTCAAATGATGTAAACCTTTCCTTGGGTCACTTATCTGCCACATATTAGCATTGCAAGCCCTGTCCTCGGAGTTTCTAGTTCTTCATATGTAAAGTGGGGTTAGGTCTATTTCCCTCGAAGAGTTTTGCAATGAATTAATAAATTAATTTTCATGAATGTGCATATTATTTTTTAATTGATTTTATTTTTAAATACACAACAGTGGGATGCATTACAATTCTTATTACACATATAGAGCACAATTTTTCATATCTTTGTATATAAAGTATGTTCACACCAATTCATGTCTTTATACATGAACTTTTTTTTGCATTACAATTCTTATTACACATATATACCACAATTTTTCATATTGGTTGACACCCAATTCATGTCTTTGAATGTGCATATTAAGTGCTTGATATTGTTATTGTTCTTTCCATACTTATAGCCAGTCTATCATTTGTGCAAAATTTAATCTCTGAAGTTTATTGCCTCCATACACACTCTCTTGGTTGATGGCTGTATTTCCATGCCTTTATTTTTGTTCTAGCAAAAGTCAACTACATTCTTCCCTTAAACATTAGGAGTAGGGTCAGGTGTGGTGGTGCATGCTTATAATCCCATTGTTTTGGGTGGCTGAGGCAGCAGGATCTCAAGTTCAAGTCCAGCCTCAGCAATTTGTCAAGATCCTATCTATCTCAAAATAAAAATAAAAAGGATTGGGGATGCAACTCCATGGTAAAATCCCTGGGTTCAACACCCAGAACCACCTCCCCCTAAAAAAGTAAGAGTGGGAAGTAATTTTCCTAACTTGACATATATCAAAATCTATAGCCAACAACAACTAATGTAAAACCTATAGATGACATCTCATTAACAGAAAGATATCCTCTATCACCACCATGATTTAAGATAGTGTTTTAGTCAACTTTTTTGCTGCTGTGATGAAAAGGATCTCATGAGCACAATTATACAGGAGGAAAAGTTTATTTGAGGGCTCATGGTTTCAGAGGTCTCAATCCACAGACAGCAGTCTCCATTCCTTGAGCTCAAAGTAAGGCAGAACATCACGGTGGAGGAAAGCAGCTCATGTCATGATCACAAAGCAAAAAGAGAGTTTCTACTTTCATGACACAAATTATATACTCTGAAGCTATGTCCTCAAGTCCCACCTCTTCCAGCCAACACCCTACCACTTCAATTACCACTCAATTAATCTCTATCAGGGGATTAATTTATTGATTGGGTTAAGACTCTTATAACCCAATCATTTCTTCTGTGGAGCTTTCAGGGGACACCTCGCATCCAAATCATAACTGATAGCATTAGAGGTTGTAGACAGTATTGTAAGACTATATATTTATATTATATTGTAATATAAAAGAAAATATAAGAATTTGAAAAAATAACCACATATTTACAGATAATATAATTATTTTATCAGATAAAACCTAACAGAAAAGGCTGGGGTTGTGGCTCAGTTGTAGAGTGCTTGCCTAGCATGCACAAGGCCCTGGGTTCAATCCTCAGCACCACATAAAAATAAATAAATTAAATAAAGGTTAAAAAAAAAACTAACAGAAAGAATAGCCCTATTTTGAAAACTAATAAGACTGTAGAAATCTTGCTACACTTACCATCACCAAAAATTCTAGTATCCTTACTATACCAAATTAGAAAATAGGATAGGGAATAAGATAACCTTCAAAATAACAAGATTAAATTTTGTTTGCAGGAAAGAACCTAAAGCACAAAATTTTACAGAGTTTATTTTAACTTTCTTTAAAAGCTTAAAGGGGATTTTGACTAAGTGGAAATATACTGTGTCCATGTTTGGGGTGATTTGCCAATACACCCCACATTGATTTGCAAATTCAGGACAATCTCAAACCAAATTCCAGCAGGACTTTGGAGAAGGGTTGATAGACTAACATTTATAACTGGATTTTTTTCGTGAATAAGTAATCATTTTGAAAATTAACTTGAGAAATCAAGCAGACTCCCTATGATATTGGAGGCCCTCTGCAATTGAGAGCAGCTTCCTCATGCTGCGTGGAGACAGAAGGACTGACCTTCCCCTGACCTGACAGCAAAGAAACAGAGTGGAGATTGGTCCCTGCCCAGGCCTGTCCAGCCCAGGCTTGACCAAATCTACACAGGACTTTTGTTTCTATGAATTGTAACTGCTTCTGTGGGACCAGCGGGAGATGCAATCCAGCTGCTTCTCTCTGATTTGATCAACCTGCAACATATTCCTTCTTCCATTTTTTGCCTATTTCTTATGCAGGTGAGCAGCTGAATCCAGCAAGTGAAGATCCAGGCATGGTGGCTGGGCTAGGCCAAAGGTAACAGAAAGAAGAGCAAAGGGAATAATTTACCCTATTAGATATTAAGGCATACTTTAAAACCACAGTAATAAAATGGCCTGGTACTCTTGTAGGAAATGATTAGCAAACAAAGGAACTAAAAACAAAGCTCGGAAATACATTCTAGCTTATGGTAATTGGATACATACTAAAGATGTCCTCAAAGCTTTGGAAAGGCATCACATTGTTTTTCTAGTTTGTAATGAGCTAGTTCACCAACTGGAAAATATAGCTGTATTATATTATAATAATTCTAAAACACAGCTGGATTATAATAATTATGTTATTACATAATATAATAAATGAAATTTAGACAGTTTAGACATGAGGAGGCAAAGCTAAATGTACTGTCTCTAATGTACTCTTAACAGGCTTAACACCCCTCCCCCCGGTTTTTTTTTCTTTTGGTGGTACTAGGGATTGAATCCAGGGGCACTATATCACTGAACTACATCTCCTGTGGAGCTTTCAGGGGACACCTCGCATCCAAATCATAACTGATAGCATTAGAGGTTGTGGACAGTATTGTAAGACTATATATTTATATTATATTATATTATAATATAAAAGAAACAAAAAGAAAATATAAGAATTTGAAAAATAACCACATATTTACAGATAATATAATTATTTTATCAGATAAAACCTAACAGGATTTTGTTATTTTGAGACAGGATCTCTAACTTGCTGAGGCTGGCCTTGAACTCACAGTTCTCCTGCTTTAGCCTCTTGAGTAGCTGGGATTACAAAAGTAATTACACCTGGTCAGCAAAATGTTTTAAATAGGAATTGAAAAGCTGAATAATCAAGACCAAAAAGACATGGCTTTGCCATATTATAATTAAAATGTTGTGGTTAATGAAGGGGTTGATAAACAATTTTAAGTGATAGGAGACAGAAGATATTTAAATCAGTAAAACCAATAAAGGATTAATATCTAGAATATACAAGAATGCCCACAAGTCATCAGGAAAAGAAACTCAATAGAAAAATTGAGAATGGATATATGTAAGCAGGTTACTGAAAGAAAAATCCAAAAGGCCATCAAATAAATGGAAAGATTCTGAAAATCACAAATATTCAGATATCATATCACAGAACCTTACTGGGTAGACTGTCTTATCTCTAATTATATTATCTCCCTGTTTCCCCCTTTCCCTCTGCTCCCAATATTTCTTATATTTTCTCCTTTCTCTTCCTGTTTCCCCATTCCTTCGTTGGTTCAGCATAGGTAAACTTGTCTTCATGGATCACCAGATCACAATCATGTTTCCTTCTCCTTTCTTTTTGTATTGTTATTTTATCCCCTTCCCCATTTTTTGAAATAAACATAGTCCATTTATTTATTTACTTTAATGTATTTTTCTAGTTGTAGATGGACACAATACCTTTATTGTTTATTTATTTACATGTAGTGCTGAGGATGGAAACCAGTGCCTCACATGTGCTAGAGAAGCGCTCTACCACTGAGCCACAGTCCCAGTCCCCCTTCCCCATTTTATTTTCTCTCAAAGTTCAAAATAGTGCTTAGTTCTTCAAGGAAAGAAAATGGAAAGGAAAGGAGGGGAAGGAAAGGCAGAAGAAAAACATCTGGAAAAAAGTTTGATAGGCCAAATTTTGGAAAACTCATGTTTTCCAGTTACATTGTAGAAGAGGGAGGGAGAACTGAAAAGAAAAGGGAGAAGAAGAAGGGGGAAATGATATATTTAAGTAATATCAATAAAAGACAATGTTCGAGGGGCTGGAATTGTGGCTCAGCGGTAGAGCGCTCGCCTAGCATGGGCGGGATCTGGGTTCAATTCTCGGCACCACATAAAAATAAAGGCATTGTGTTGTGTCCATCTACAAAAAAAGATTCATTCTCTCTCTCTCTCTCTCTCTCTCTCTCTCTCTCTCTAAAAAAGACAATGTTCAATTCATTCTACTATCATTCTTATCCCCATACCCCTTTTCTCCCTTTACTCCCCTCTGCCTAGTCCAAAATATCTCTATTCTTCCCTAGCCCCTCCTTCTTATTGGGAATTAGCATCCACACATCAGAGAAAACATTTGGCCTTTGGTTTTGGGGGATTGGCTTATTTCACTTAGCATGATATTCTCTAGCTCCATCCATTTACTGGCAAAAGGCATAATTTCATTCTTCTTTAAGGCCGAGTAATATTCCATTGTGTATATATACCACATTTTCTTTATCTGTTCATCTGTGGAAGGGTATCTAGGTTGGTTCCATAGTTTGGCTATTGTGAATTGAGCTGCTATAAACATTGATGTGGCTGAGTCACTGTAGTATGCTGATTTTAAGTCCTTTGAGTATTAACCGAGGAGTGGGATAGCTGGGTCAAATTGAGATTCCGTTTTAAGTTTTCTGAGGAATCTCCATACTGCCTTCCATAGTGGTTGCACCAATTTGCAGTCCCACCATCAATGTATTAGTGTACCTTTTTCCCAACATCCTTGTCAACATTTATTGTTACTACTATTTCCATTCTAACTAGAGTGAGATGAAATCAGAGTAGTTTGGCTACTATCAAAAGGGCTAATGTAATAAGCACTGACAAAGATGCAGCTATTCTGGAAAACAATATGGAAGTTCCTAAAAATAAAAATTAAAAATTGAGGGCTGGGATTGTGGTTCAGCAGTAGACCGCTTGTCTAGAATGTGCAAGGCCCTGGGTTCGATCTCAGCACCATATAAATTAATAAATTAATAAATGAAGGTACTGTGCCCAACCACAACTTACAATATAAAATATTAAAAAAAATGAACTACCACTGTTCTGGATCCAGCATTTCCACTACTGTGAATATGTCCAAAGGAAAGGAAACCAGTATGTCAATAAAATCTCTGTAGCCCTATGCTCACTGCAATATTATTCACAATGCCAAGAAAAGGAGACCGGCTAACTGTTCATCAGCCATCAAATGGATAAAAAATATGTGGTGCATATATACAATGGAATAATATTTAATCATAAAAAAGAATGAAATCCTGTTATTAGCAGCAACATGGATAGAAACAGTTATCATTGTTAAGTGAAATAAGTCAAGCACAGGTATATACTACATGATCTCACTCACATGAGGAATGGAAAAAAATTGATCTCATAGAAGTTGAAAGTAGAACGGTGGTTACTGGAAGCTGAGGAAAGCAGGAGAGGGGAGGGATGGGGAAGGTTCATTAATGGGTACTTAGTTACAGTCAGGAGTAAGGTGTTGAGGTGTGCCATTGCATACTAGGAAACCATAGATAATAATAATGTACCATACATTTTAAAAGGCTAGAAAAAAAGGAGCTTGAAAGCTTTTACCATAGGAACTGATAAAAATGTGAGGGGAGGGCTGTGGTTGTGGCTCAGCAGTAGAGCGCTCGCCTAGCAGGTGCGAGGCCCTGAGTTCGATCCTGAGCACCACATAAAAATACATAAATAAACATATTGTATCCAACTACAACTAAATATTACACAATATTCATATGTCAAATCCTCATGGCACTGTAATGTTTATTTGCAGGAATCTGAGTGCCTATAACATGATACTATAATGTTTGATATATGTATACATGGATGTGTATACTTTTATGTTTTATGTGTTGGCTAAAAAATGAATTAAAAAAAGACAAAAAAGACAATTTTATCATTTTAATACTATTAGAATTGCCAATATTATAAAAGTGTATAATACCAAGTTGTTGATGTTGCTTCTCTCGTGGACTACTCTTGTGAGTTTTAATATTACAGACTTCAGGAAGTAGTTTACTTTTAAAAACTTTTAAAAGTCACTTTTTGTCATTCCATTCAAAGAAACACTGCTGTGATCATAAATGAACTAATCCAAGAAATTCCCATTTTTTTGTGGGGAAACCAGATTACAACTCTCTCTTTCTAACTCTATTATACACAAAGTTGTCTGTCTCTCTATTAGACTCTCTCTCTCTCTCTCTCTATATATATATATATATATATATATATGTGTGTGTGTGTGTGTGTGTGTGTATATATGTGTGTGTGTGTGTAAATGTATATATATATATATATATATATATATATATATATATACACACACACATATGTATATACTGTTCTATATATGGTCAACAAAGGGGTTCATAAATGATTTCATATATATATATAATATGATATTTTTTGTGATTCCTAGAATTACAATCAATGTTAGAAAATATATTACATATTTTTGTGTGCATATAAAATTACATGTGAATGGAAAACAATTCCTCTCCTTTTTCTGGAGTTGCTGGTGCTCTTGAGGCAAGGGCTAGAATCCACAAAAGATGGTGTGCTGGTGTCTGTCTTGAGTTAATGAGAAAAGAATACCTTTTTTTGTGGGACTAAGGATTAAACCCAGAGGAGCTCTATCTTTGAGCTACATTCCCAGCCCTGTTTTTGTTTTATTTTGAGACAGGGCTTTGCTGAGTTGCTGAGGTTGGCTTTGAACTCGGAATCCTCCTGCCTCAGCCTCCTGAGTTGCTGGGATTAAGGTGTGAGCCATCATGACCAGCAAGAATAACCTTTTAGTGAGCTTTGGAGTGTACTAGACACAAACTACATATTTTGACTTGTTAAATCATCACAACATTATGAGGGAGTAGGTGTTATCATCTCATTGTATGGATAAGGAAACATGGGTGGAGAGGTTCAATAATTTGTGAAAGGACATAGGATTGGAGCCTAGGTCTGTATGAGCGATGCTATTTTCACTACATCACAAGTGACTGGGAACAGGTTGAAATTGGAGGCAAGGCTGGAGAAACCTTGGGCAGCACACATCAGAATGTAGAGTGACCAAACTAAGTATTGTAACATTTTTTTGTTTACTATCAATGTCACATACTGTACCAATAGCAGGTATAATTGCCTGAGAACTGTAAATGCAAATTGTAATAAATCAGTCCTTTAAATCAAGGACTCCTATATTTGTTCATGTTAAGGTAAGAAGTGACCTATACATCATTTTTTTGTCCCTATCATGGATGTTTATTTTCTAACTTGACTGAGATCCACAGACCCTACTCCATCTCCAATACATCTCCAGTGGTACAATTTCAGGTATCAACCCAAACAGCAATAGAAATATTTTATTGTGCAGGGATGCAAGGAGGGTTCAGGAAATTCTTTTTTAAAAAAAATTTTTTTAGTTATAGATGGATACAATACCTTTATTTTATTTATTTTTATTTTTATGCAGTGCTGGGGATCGAACCCAGTGCCTCGCAAATGCTAGGCAAGCATTCTACCACTGAGCCACAACCCAGGCCCCATGGAAATTCTTTAATTGCCTAAATTAAATTAAATATGCAATTGCTTCTTTGCCTCCACGTGCTGACAATTTTGACTGTAGGAGAACAGTAGTCTTTACTGATACACAAAGAATGCTTGGGAAATGATTTTTGAAGTTCATTTTGGGACAGAGCTTTTTAGATTCCTTGAAGCAACTATGAAATATTTATTAGGAGATAGAAATTTAAACTAAAATATCTCTCTCTCCCTTTTTTTTTTTTGTAGTAAAGTCAAAATGGAAAGACCATTCCTTCAAAAACCAGCAGCACAAATGTAAAGGGATTATTTTTTCCTATATGTAACTCTGAGGCCTGGGGCCAACAGAATGAGCTCAGAGAGCCTCCTCCCTTCTCAACAGCTTAGGCTCATTTTCATTGGACTTTGTCTACTGTCTTTGGTAGAGACATATGGGTTCCGCAAATGCACACAGTATGAATTAAACATTCGCCACGTGTTCTGCATTCGGAAGGAGATCACCAACTTGACAGATGCCATTGGTGACATCCCTAGATACACTACTCACCTCAATCTGACACAAAACCAAATTCAGGTCCTTCCTCCCCATAGCTTTGCTAATTTGTCTGCCCTGGTGGACTTGCGCCTGGAATGGAATTTAATTTGGAAGATTGATAAGGGTGCCTTTAAGGAACTTGGAAACCTGACCTTTCTGAATTTAGTAGAAAATAAGATTGAAAGTGTGAACAACTCCTTTGAGGGCCTGTCCAACTTGGAGACTTTGCTCCTGAGCCATAATTTTATTACTTATATTCACAAAACTGCCTTTGTACCTCTTGTCAAATTGAAACATTTAAGCCTGTCTCGAAACCGTATCACCAATTTTTCCAATGTTCTTGAAGCAGTCCAGCATCTTCCATGCCTGGAATACCTTGACCTTACTAATAACAGTATCATATCCTTGGACCATAACCCAAGGTCATTGGTCTCCCTGACCCATCTCAGCCTTCAGGGAAACAAACTAAAGGAATTAAATTTCTCTGCTTTGTCACTGCCTAATCTGACCACTCTGGATGTCTCTCAGAATAGACACCAAGTCATCCAGAATGTGGATCTGGAAACTCTACCCCAACTGAGGAGCTTGAATCTGAGTGGAACACTGGTGAAACTGGAGATGCTTCTAGCCAAGTACCTGAAGAATCTAAGAGAAATGGACATCACTAAGCTGGACCTTAGAGGTGGTCACTTAAACTTGAATACAGTATGTTGCCTCCTGAAAAACTTACCCACACTAGAAGCATTAGTTTTTCAGAAAAATGCCATGGATGCAGGGGACATAAAGCATCTTGCCAATTGCACCAGGCTTTTGTCCCTTGACCTGAGCCAAAACAGTGATCTGGTTCATCTCAATGACAATGAATTTGTTGCTATGCCCAGCCTCCAAAGTCTGCATCTTAACAAGTGCCAGCTTTCCTTCGTCAGCAACAAGACTTGGAGTTCCCTCCAGAATTTGACAGCCCTATATCTGAGCCATAACAAGTTTAAAAGCTTTCCGGATTTTGCATTTTCACCCCTGAAAGGCCTACAATCTCTGTTTCTCTCTAAAAACCCCATCACAGAACTCAATCATATGGCCTTCCATGGGCTAGATTTGTTGAAGGAGCTCAACTTAGCTGAGTGCTGGATAGTAATGATTGACAGTTCATCCTTTGTTCACTTTACAAATTTAGAGAGCTTAGATCTTAGACTTAACAATATTCATACTCTGAAGCAGAGAACCTTTCAATTTATGAAAAAGCTCAAAGTTCTGATTCTTTCCAGGAACCGCCTAGAAGTTATAGAGGAGAATGCATTTTTTGGTCTCACTCACCTATATTATCTTGATCTGGCATACAATAGCTTGTCAGGTTTTCATTTAAAACTTTTCTTGGGCCTTGAAAATTTAGAAGTGTTGAATCTCAGTTATAATAGGATTACATATGAAACCACTAGGACCTTGCAATTTCCTCCATTCAAGAACCTCAAGTCTTTGAAACAACTCAGCCTTGAAGGACAAAATCATGGGATTCAGGTTGTTCCAACCAACTTCTTCCAAGGGCTGAATTGCTTGCAGGAACTATTCCTAGGAAAAAATTCCATGATATTCCTGGATCACCTCCAATTTGACCCCCTGGTTAATCTCACAAAATTGGATATCTCCGGAACAAAAGCTGGGGACCGAAGTCTCTATTTAAATACTTCCTTATTCCAAAAACTCAAAAGACTAAAGATGTTGCGCCTTGAAAACAACAACATGGAGTCACTGACTCCTGGCATGTTCTCTGGCTTAGAAAGCCTTCAGGTCTTCTCTTTAAGATTCAACAATCTGAAAGTCATTAATCAAAGTCATTTGGAGAATCTGAAGTCTTTGATGTACTTTGATCTCTATGGGAACAAACTTCAGTGCAACTGTGACAATATGTGGTTCAAAAACTGGTCAATAAACACAGCAGTTGTCCATATCCCCTATCTCTGGAGCTACCCCTGTCATCAGCCAGATACCCAGAGTTTGTTGATAGATTTTGATGATGCCATGTGTAATTTTGACCTTGGAAAGATCTACTTCTTCTCTTCCTTCAGCCTGGTCCTCACAACCATGGTCTTCTCTTGGTTCAGTGCCAAGATTATTTCATCTCTATGGTATGGGCTCTACATATTTCGAGCCTGGTACCTAGCTAAATGGCACAGGACAGAGAAGGAATTCATCTATGATGCCTTTGTCTCTTTCACTGCCACTGATGAGCAGTGGGTATATGAAGAGCTTGTTCCAGCCCTAGAAGATGGTGGCCAGCCCAAATTTAAGCTCTGTCTTCACCACCGGGACTTTGAACCAGGTATGGACATCTTTGAAAACATCCAGAATGCCATTGATACCAGCCGGAAGACTTTGTGTGTGGTCAGTAACCACTACCTCCACAGTGAATGGTGTCGGCTTGAAGTACAACTGGCCAGTATCAAGATGTTCTATGAGCATGAGGATGTTATTATCTTGATCTTCTTGGAAGAGATCCCAAACTATAAGTTATCCAGCTACCACCGACTCAGGAAACTTGTGAACAGGCAGACGTTTATTACTTGGCCAGACAATGTTCATGAGAGGCCACTCTTCTGGGCTCGTATTAGAAATGCCTTGGGCAACAGAACTGTGGAGAAAGACAATGCACAGCTAATAGTGGCTGAGTGACTGAAAGTCTTATAACTTCAAATCCAACTGTATAATGTTGCCCAAGATATGTGTAGGGTAAGAGTCTGACTATTCTCCAGGCATAAGGACATGCATGGATTGGTCATGACCATAAGACCAGGACCATTTGAATAATGTTCTTCAGGCAACTGGAAGAGTGAAGGGGACTGCCTGAAGAAGCTTCAGGAACCAGGTCCCACCATTAGGGGATTAGATATCTGGAAGGAACACCTCTATTATCAAGGGGAAGGCTTGAAACACCAGTCACCTGAAATTCTGGGAACCAGGAAGGCTCTGATATATGCTTGATCGTTGCTCAGTTAGTTTCTCCAAACCAGTTTCTGTTTAGATTGAATGGTACTCCTTTTAAGAACCTCTAACAACAGAAACACCATCAACAGGGTTTAGTAAAAGAAAAAAAAAACTAATAAAACAAAAAGCAAAACATTAAAAACAACAAAAATGTAAAAACAACAACAGCAGGAAAGTCAAGTTTGTGTCATATTCCCCTTTAGGGCGTAAGACTCCAGATGCCAGCTTTTCCTCTAAGTCAGATTGTAAGAGCTAGGAGAATCCCAGTTTGGATCTGTGTATTTACTTAGTGAAAAGGAGGCTTGATGAGGTAGCAGAGCAATGATGCTTGTGGAAATTATTCCCCAGGTGGAGCAAAGCGGCTTCATAGAGCAGCTTTTGTCAGCTATCTTAAGACAGGTGTGTAGATTCCAATGGCTGTGTGTTTCAGGCAATGTCTATTGAAAACAACACTCAGCATAGGATGTCTCTGGAATTAGATAGTCTTGTAGACACAAAATTTTTAACAGAAAAATGCTCCAAACTCCTACAACAAGAGAGACCATAGAAGAACAGTTTATAATTTACAAATTATAGTTAATAATCACATGCCCTTGAGGTTGCCTTTTTTCTGATTTTTTTTTTCTCCAGGAAGGCTTTGTCTTCCTTCTCAAGTTTTCTCCTTATCCTTAAATTCCTGGGGCAGTGAGGGGGGTTGCTGAGGAAAAGGTCCTGAAGGGCAGAATTTTTATTGACTGGGATAGCCAGATGTCTACCTCAATGGGTCCTCACCTGCCCTCTCAGTAACATAAATGACTCTTCTGTATAAAGAGAGGTGGGCATGTTTTGGACAAAATCCAAAGGCATTTGTTTTTGAAATTGTGTGCCATTAGCTGGGGGCTTTTGGGTTAAATACTACATTGCAGCAGGAAAAAAAATTGCCATGGGACATGTAAGAACTATCCCATTTCTGAATTTTATTTAAATCCAATAGTCTGATTTTAAGTCCCTGTTTGGTTAGACTGGGGGAAATTTTTAATATCTATCATTATCAGTTTCTCTCCCCTTTCCTACTAGCCTCTAATATTCTTACATAAAGAAAAAATTTCTCCAATCTTTGTTCCAAATGATTGCCACTTGTGTGTCCAAACTGGATCCCTGACGTCTAAGGGCCTTCTTACTTCTGGGTAATGCTTGGCACTGAAATTGGGCACAATCTTTTTTTTTTTCCCTTAAGTCTGTCACGTTCCTGGGCACGGTGTGGGTCATGGGTGCCAACCACTAAAGGAAACTGCAGACTTCTATTTCTTTTCCTAGTCTTGGGTAATCTTCACTTCTCTGGTTGTTTCAGCCACCTCTCCACTTCCCTTTTAACCTCACAGTTGCCCTCTTCTCTCTCCACCCTGCACATCAGAGAGAAGAGAGGTTGTATTCAAATAATCTCAGCAGGCACAGGGACACATTCCCTTTGACTGGGTGGAAGTATAATTCACTTCCCATTATTACTGATTTTTCTATGGCAGGGAAAACAAAGCATAAACTAATATCTAACATAGCACAACACAACATATCTAATATAATTAGCATACAAAAACTAAGATCACTGAGCAGCATGCTGATTGATGGAAGTCTAGGATTCCTTGAAACTACAGAGTGTGACATGAGGGGCACAATGCCATGAAGAGGGTGTCAGTAAAGGTAAATAATTACTTGAACTGGTTTGTTTTTTGCAAGGATGAGCAATCATGCTGGAACAGAAACTAAATTTTATATGCATGTTTTAGGAAACTGGATGAACTGGATCTTCTGTGCATTCAGGATAGGCTGAATATAGATTGCAGGACCCAGTGTAAGATGTAAATATGGTGACACTTGTTTCAAAACCATTCAGATTTTCAAGATAGAGATGGAAGAGCATTTGACCAAGCACAGAGAACTTCTGAATCTGAGGCCCTGTGTGAGGACACTGGTTACTTGCCCATGAAGTTGCCCTTACTTGTGACTATAAGATGCAGGAATATCAGCTTTGCCTTTCATAACTTAAATCTGCAGATAGGGAACTAGTGGGGAATTCCAAAGGACATATCTATTAATATAGTAAAACTATGATTGCAGCCAGGTGTGGTGGTGCACACCTGTAATTCCAGAGACTTGGGAAGCCAAGGCAGGAGGATTGCAAGTTCAAGGGCAACATCAGTAACTTAGTGAGACCTTGTCTCACAATAAAAATAAAAAGGGTTGGGGATGTAGCTCAGTGGTAAAGTGCCCCTGACTTCCATCGCCAGTACAAAAAATAAAAATAAAACAGTTATGATTGCTTTCTTGAACAAAATGATGTCTCCAGCCTGAACTGATCTAAGAATTGGGATTGTGGTTGATATTAAAAACAAATACTGAGGGAGGAGAGAAGAAAGGGGGAAATATGGGGGAATGATATTGACTAAATTATATTGCTATATATATATGTACAAATGAATCCCACTATTATGTAATAGTGCATCAATAAAACTATGGAAAAAAATTAAAACTTAGGGGGAAAAACAATAATACCATTGCCATCAAGACAAAATGATGACATTGTCATTCTTGTTTTATTCATGGAAGGGATGGGGCTGAAATTCAAAGTATATAAATTATAGAAGGGTTTGAATTATGTCTATTATATGTATCAAATATTTAATGCTGGGTGCAGTGGCACATACCTGTAATCTCATTGACTGGGGAGGCTAAGACAGGAGAATCACAAGTTTGAGGCCAGGCTTAGCAATTTAACAAGGTGCTAAGCAACTTAGTGAGATCCTGTCTCAAAACAAAAAAATAAAAAGGCTGGGGATGTGGCTCAATGGTTAAGCGCCCCTGGGTTCAAACTCCAGTACCACAAAAATTTAAAAAAAAAAAAAACTACTTAGCCAGGATATAGGGAAATTCACTTTATAGATCAAATTACTAGAATTCTAAGAACTTTTTAGATGAAGTCACTGGGGCTCTAACAATATCTGGAAATTATTATATTGTTAATTGATCTATCAAACAACCTGAAATAACAAGAGGTTAATTATAACAGAAAAAGATTAGTAAAGGAAAATTTCCTGCTAGTAAATGTGGAAATATGTTACATCTAATTTTATTAAAAGGAACCAAAATTTTCTACCCTATGAATACTGCAAAAAAAGGAACTTCTTTGTTAGGAACCATTTATTTTGTTATTTATTTTTATGTGGTGCTGAGGATCAAACCCAGTGCCTTACAGGTATGAGGCAAGTGCTCTACCACTGAGCCAGAACCCCAGTCAGAGGAACCATTTATATGTGGCCCACCTAGATGATTTTCAAGCTCATCTTCCAAACCAGAATTTCACTGCCAGTTCTGTATTTGTGGAATTGGGGTAATGAATATACGTATTGAATAAGTTTCCTTGAAACCATGCATTTCCTCTTAATAATAGGATTAGTGATTGGGTTGAAAAGGCAGAGTCAAAATGACTTCTTCCACTTACAGTGTGATCCACACACCCACAGCATCAGTATTATCTGGGTGTTTGTCAGAAATGCAAAACCCTGGGCCTACCTCAGGCCTACTGAACCAGCCTGTTAACAAGTTGATAACAAGTACCCCAGGTGATTCCTATGCACATTAAAATTTGAGAAACACTGAGTTAAGCAATTACATACATCAAGGAAACTCTGGAAAGATTCTCCTATTCTCCAAATTCTACTCCTCTTATGTGACACAGTGATCAAAATGTAATCATTAACTGTCCTTTGGATTACTCTTACAATATCTCTTTAAAGAGTTATGAGGCTGTCTCTCCCTCTTGAGATTACCTCCATTCTCTCTTGAATACATATCTACATTCCTATATAAACTTCTGCCTATGCCTTTCAAAAACAACAAAAAGGAATAGCAGTAATGGATTGGGATGTGCCTCAGTGGTAAAGCAATTGCCTTGCATACACGAAACCCTGGGTTCTATCCCCAGTTCCAATAAAAAAGACAAAGTAACAACAAAGAATAACAGTAATTATAATATAATTTTAAGGATGTGTAGTCTTTTTTTGCTGTTTTCAAAGCATTTTTTAAAATCTTTATTTTGTTTATTCATTTTTATGTGGTGCTGAGGATCAAACCCAGTGCCTCACATGTGCTAGGCAAGCACTCTACCACTGAGCCACATCCTCAGCCCTCAAAGCATTTTTATACCTATGATCTCACTTGATTCCTTTATCATGGGTAACCCACTAATCCAATGTACTCTAATCATCCTACCAATAAGTATGAAGTTAGGTCAATAATGTATTGCTTTATCCCTAAATGTCATTTTAAAAGCCAAGAAATAGGTAGAAATCTGAATAAATTATGAATACAAAATAGACATAAGATGTAATAGTTACAATATAAAATATAGTGAGGATATATTTCTAAAACAATATACAATAGCCACAGAATCTCAGGAGGGGTATCCGGGCATGGTGGTGCGTGCTTGTAATCCCAGTGGCTTGGGAGGCTGAGGCAGGAGGACCATGAGTTCAAAGCCAGCCTCAGCAAAATCAAGGCACTAAGCAACTCAATGAGACCCTGTCTCTAAAAAATACAAAATGGGACTGGGGATGTGGCCAGTGAGGTCAAGTGCCCCGAGTGCAATCCCTGGTACCAAAAAACAAAACAAAACAAAACAACAACAACAAAAAAACATATATATATATATATATATATATATATATATATATATATATATATATATATATATATATATCCCAGAAGGGCTCTTTATCATTGGGTAGGCTTAATTATTATTCTAAAATCATAGGGCTGGGGATGTTGCCTAGCATGTTCAAGTCTCTGTTTGATCCCCAGCACTACAATAACTAAAGTTCATTCTGTTAAAGTAAAAACAGAGTAGAGCCTCTACAAGCTACATTTTGTGTTTATTTAAACTATAAGAAACTTAACTTGAGTGAGCTAGAATTAGCCCAAGAAAATGTGTCTTTAAACTCAGGAAATATAAAAACAATTTTGTAGATGTGTCTAGACATAGATTGCTCTGAAGATTTGTCTGTAAATCAAGAAGATGACATTGACCCAATAATGTCACTTAATGCAGTCATCTTTGTTTTTACTACATTGTGTTTCCAGGAGGAATTTAAGCCTGATATAGGTGGCCTATTGCATCCTGATGCATTTAGAATCTAGTCACAAATGTTAAGCTTTATGTAAGAAGTGAGCAGGAAATGTGATAAAGGTATTGTGAATTATGAAAGCTCTAGTCCTAACAATTTTGTAGTTTTCAAATACAGCTTGAGGAGAATCTTTCCAAATTGAAAAATCATTAAATACAATAACATAAATAGGGATTGGTTATGGTTTGGATGTAAAATGTTCCCTAAAGACCCATAGGCTAAAGGCTTTGTCACCAACTTATTGTGCTATTGGGAGTTGCTTAAACCTTTAGGAAGTAGAGCCTGGTAGAAGGAAGTTAGGTTATTGAGAGCATGCACTTGAAGAGGATATTGAGATCCTAACCCCTTTCCCTCTCTCTCTTTGCTTTTTGATCATCATGAGGTGAGAAGCTTTGATCCAGCATGTCTTCTCCTCCATAATGTTCTGCCCTGCCACAAGCCCAAAGCAATGGGGTGAAAGGACCATGCTCTAAAATCTTTGAAACTGCAAGGCACAATAAAATTTTCTTCCTTTATTTGTGTTACTGAGGATTGCACCCATGCCCTCACAAATGATAGACAAGCACTTCTACCACTGACATACATCCCCCGAACCCCTCTCCTTTCAAATTTTGAGATAGGATCTTGCTAAGTTGCCCATGCTGGCCTTGAACTTGTGATTTTCTTGCTTCAGCATTTCAAGTAGCTGGTATTACAGGCATGCATCACTGTGTCTGGCTTTCCACCTTATAAGTTGGTTATCTCAGGTATTTTTTTTTCAAGTAATGGAAAGCTGACTAACACAGGGTGTTCCCCAAAATGAGAGATGTTAAAAAGCCATTTAAGGAAAAGCTATAACTTGAAACTACCTGAAGATGCCCAAGGCCCAAGATTCTGGTTCAGTAAGCTGAAGGGATGAAAGGAACAAATCTGGAGAGAGAGAGAATATCAAGTAGGATAATGAGTTTCCTTGGTATCCCCTAAGCAGCACTGCCATCTGGTGGTGATTTAATAAATCACATTCTTCTTCCTCCCCGATCCTGTCCTAAGGTGTGGCCTAGCACTCCAGAATATACTGAGAAAGCCAGGTGAAACATTATTAGTTTTTTGTGGCTACCTTAACAAATTACTACAAACATGGAGACTTAAAGCAACAGAAATTTATTATCTTACAGTTCTAAAGACCAGAAGTACAAAATTAAGGTGTTGGCAGGTCTGTGTGGCCTTTGGAGGGTCCAAGGGAGGAACTGTGCCTTGCCTAATCCAGCTTTGGGTGGCTGCTGACATTTCTAAGCTTGTGGCCAGATGACTCCAATCTCTGCCACCATCTTCATATGGCCTTCTTATCTTCTGTGTGTCCAATATTCATCCTTCTCCTCCTTCTCTCTCTCTCTCTCTCTCTCTCTCTCTCTCTCTCTCGTACCAGGGATTGAACTCAAGAACACTTAACCACTGAACCACATTCCCAGACCTTTTTTTCATGCTTTATTTAGAGACAGGGTCTTGCTGAGTTGCTTAGGGCCTCACTAAGTTGCTGAGGCTGGCTTTGAATTTGTGATCCTCCTGCCTCAGCCTCCTGAGCTGCTGGATTTTCTCTTACAAGGACACTAGTTTTGGTGATAATGGAGATAAGAAGGAAAAGAAAAAAATGGGAGAAAGCACTCTCAAGTAAGACAGTGGGTCCTCTCAGAGAGGAGAGCAAAGACTCACTTATTCATGTCCCCATTTTTATTGGGTTAAGAGGGAGAGTGTTAGAAAGTCCTGCCCAAGTATCACCTCTTGGCTCTGATTTGACAGACTACATTAGCTAAAAACCTAAGGGCTACTCTTAGTTATCTTGGCCTTGCTGACAGGTCCCAGTTGGAACTGGTTTCACAGAATTTATGGTTCATGGGCTCCAGTCTTAATCATCTTGTTTACCTAGGTCTGAGAATCTCTTGTCTGTTGCTTGTATAGAGTCTTGCTTAAGATGTTTTAGCAATTAGGCCTTTTTTGAGCAAATGTATCTTTGCCCTTTGGTTCTTACCTTCTGAATTTATCTATCTTCCTTCTGTTGTAAGAGGAGTAGTTTATAGGGCTGAGATCAGGCAAGGGTGCCGCAGTCTGGCTGGGCATAATTCAGGAGGCACTTGTCAAAAGAAGCAAACTTTATTTTTAGAACACACACACCACACCACACAGCTCCTCAGGAAAAACCTTCAGAGCCCAACTGCCACCACCGGCTTCCCACAAGCCTCTCAACCTCCCCCACTCCTCCTGCTCTTGAGGCCGATTGGCTGGGTCGCGTGGGCGGAGCCAAAAAAGTCCCCCAATGAGCAGCTCTGTGGTCTGAAAGGGCAGGGAAACAGCCCAATGAGCATCACCGCAGAGGAGCCAATCAGTTGGCAGCTAGAAGTTTGCTGGGGCCGCTGTGAGC